TGAAACCAAAAAGTTTCATGGCTTTAGCCACAGAAGTTCCAAAACAACACCCATGATTTTGGTCTAGTAGGGGTGGTAGCTATCATTGTTACCTTATACATGTAACACTTATATAGCTATTAGATTTCAGGCAATGTTCTAAATATTAGAAACATATTAACTCATTTAATATTCACAACCAACATACGAGGTAAGCACTATTACTATCCTCATTTTTATAGATGATGAAACTGACAAAAAAGAGAGGTTAAATAAAGTTCTCAAGGTCACAGAGCTATTAAATGATGGAGCCAGGATTCGAATACAGAATCAGGCTTCAGCGTTCACGCTTTTAATACACTTGTAAACAGACACTGAGACTTGAATGTTAAGAAAGCACAAAAACAACACTGAATACCTATCCACAGACACGTCCTCAAATGTGTGATTTTGGTTATTAATGTTCTGTAAGTGACCTAAACAAAGATAACTATTCCTCTTGCAGCAAGATAAAATCCTGACTACTCTTTTTAAAACTCTGCTAAGTATTTAAAGTGCCATATTTTTTCACACCTTTTTTCCTCTCCATTTCAGGGTAATTATCACATGAACAGTAATTTCTGTCTAATGCCCTTTATTTCTTTTCCTGAGGACTGGCATTACAACTTGGTCAAATGTACAAAGCAAGAGTCTTCACCGATTTTACAGAGATGCGGATCCTTCTTAAGCTTTTGCACAGGTCTCTTAAAGATCAGAGCAAGACCATCAAGCAGGAAGTGACAAAACATGTGGCTCAAGTAATTAACATTACTAGAGCCAGATAACACAGAATTGAGGTTAACAAAAATATATCTTTCCAGAACCTCAATTCAAAAGCTTGTCTCTTTTAATGCTAATATCTAAAATCTTGTTACATTTATAACTTAATTATATTCAATTTAAAATACCATTTTATTAACTATTAACTTACCACCACCAGACTGGGACCTAGTTTCAATAATGACATTTTTAAAATCCACTTACCAAATATATAAAATCTAGAGTTTTTAATTCCAATTTTCTACCTGTTAAAAAATCAATAACATTCATTCCCAATGATGATGTTCCTACTGGACTAAGCAAAAAACAACCACTGGAGGAGGTGAAGGAAAACAAAAGCTAAACTCATGGCAACCAGACACTCAGAGACAAATGTTCCAGAAACAAAACCAAGATCTATAATTCACCCATCCTTTATCCTTCTTTTCCTCAAGTTATTTATTTGGCAACATAAGGTACTGAATACGCCAGGGATACAAAAAATATAAGACATGGCCTCCAACTTCAAGAAGCAACGACACATAAATCAATAAGGGCTATAAAAGCACCAGAAGTTTTAACACTGGGAATGGTGTGAGCACAAAAGAGGGAATGGACACCTTAACCTTCCAGCACTCCTTAAGTCTTCCTTATCTGAGAATTGCTTTTACTTCCTATTTTCACCTCATAATTAACAATCAAAGAAGTCTCTGTCACATTATAAGCATGCATGCTGACATCTAAAGCAACATTTGACCTGAAGCTGTTGACATAAAGGCCTTATATAAAACCAAGCAGCTCCTTATTTTATCAGTATTACATACAGTCACAAGAGGGCACAGCACAAAGCCTTACAGTGGTTATGCACAAAGACATACTAGCAATCTATTCATTGAAGGCACAGAAAAAAGTTCAGACTGACATTTATAACTTTTCTTACTGATCTCTCACTATCTCAAATTTAATCCCATGTAAGCACTTCATCTCCCTCTCCTTATTTTAAAATTTTTAATTTATTTTTTAAATTTACATACAGTAAAATTCACTCTGTAGTATAGAGGTATGAGTTTCAACAACAAATGGATAGAATCACGTCTCCAGCCCAATCTGCTTTTATTTTTCATAATAAACTTGGTATGTTTAATTTGCTTAAAACAAGGGAGCAACACATTTACAATTGCTCCTTAGTGTGAAATGCTGTTTAAAACAAACAAAAAAAATCAACAAGACCACTCTTACTCTCCAGACTCTTGAGTCTATTATATGCACAATAGCTCTTGACATTGCCTTGATTAGTTTAAACATTACAGTGTCTGCTAAGTCACAAACACAATTAGGAACTGGAGATACCAAGATTACATAAAATATGATACACGCCCAGAAGGGGAAAGTGGGTCATTGCAAGTCACTCTAATAACATATGCAAACGCCAAAAATCAGAATAGGTGACATGTATTCTGGCAACAATAAGAAGTTTAGTATCGCTAGACTGCAGGGCATACAGTGTACAGTGCCAGATGAGGCTGATAACCTAGGACGAAGCCAAATGTTAAAGTGCCAACGACTGAAATTTAACCGTTAGGTCAGTTGTTCTAAGGCTGCACATCAGAATCACCTCGAAGAACTTTAGGGAAGAAAAAACACTGATGTTAGGGACTCCATTCCCAGACCAATTACATCAGAATTTCTTGGACACATGCATCTTAGTATTTTAAAAGCTCCTCAGGCTATTCTAATGTACACCCAAGGTCATCAAACACTGAAATAGCAGAGGGAAGACAGGAAGATCATTAGATAGAGCAGTGACATGATGAAATCTGTTTTTAGGAAGATAATTGGCAGCACTACGGAAGATGAATAGATGGGGAAAGAGACTAGTGGCAGGGACCTGACCCAAGGCGGTGGCAGAGGCATAACAAACATTGTCGTGAGGAGACATTCTACTGGTAGGATCGACAAAGATGATGATAATCTGGACATAAGGGAAAAATCAAGAATGATTTAGATTTCAACCTTAAAAAACTTAGAAAATGAAGAGTAACTGAGTTGAGGAGTTTTAAACACATCTAAAGCCAGGTAACAAAAATAGATTGAGATTGGGCTAAAAATCTGGGGCCATCAGCACTATGAAGACACAGGAATGTATGCTATCACTCAGGGAGCACATGTGGAGCAGTATTTGTAAACACGACCACCACCAACATTCATTATCTGGAGCGCTTGTTAATAATGCAGATTCCTGGGTCCCAATCCAGACATAAGAGTAAGTCATTTAAATCAATGAAAATCTTAAGAACCACTGAAGAGAAAGAGGCAGATAGGACTAGGGTAGAATTTTAGTGAGATCAACATCATGTACTCTATATGGCAGGCCCAGAGTCAGAAGTTTATGAATAACTGAGGTTGAAGTTTTGATTATTTCAGGACACAATCCACAGAGAACTTGATGGCCATTTTGGCTATGAATTTCACTTACGCTGTGAAATCGGCAGCTGCTGTGGCTGCTTTGGTGGCATCTTTATTCAAGGTTGCACCCCAAACAGCACCTTTATGACCCAAAAATGTTCCAATCCAGTCTCCTGTGTCTCCCTGGCGCAGCATGGGTTTACCATCTACAAAATATTTTAAAGGACACGTGATTTAGAAGTTCACATTAATTAAAATCTAAGACACAAGCGTAAAGTGATCACGCTGAATAACAAAGTAAAACTTGCTTTTGTTGTCTAACTATTCTCACCCACCGGGATCACTAAGAAACGCCCAGGAATAAATTAAATGGAGAACCGAGCCAGACATTCTCTCTGGGAAACATTTGTAATTCGGTGAGAAGAATACCGATCTGCGTCAAAACAATCCAGATTTGAGTCGTATTTTGGACAAACGTCTGAACCTAAATCTCAGTTTCCATTTTAAAATGGGGCTAATAGCACAAAGGAATACCCCGTGAGATAACAGGAGTGACAAGTCTTTGTAAAATAAGGTATTACTTAACCTGGCCTAGTTTCTCCATTCCCTAAATCCTTGGAAGATATTTAGAGTTTGTTGCCCGGGGCGTCTAGGCAGGCGTACAGCCCCGCTTCTCCAGAAATAGCAATAAAAGTAAAATGAGAGGCCTCAGTTGGGAAAATACTTAGCCTCGTCAGAAGCTCAGAATAGCCTCTCTCGGCGCCAGCGGCGGAACCCCGAACACTACTCCTTTCCCCATCAGACGACCGGTGGCCCTAATCTCAAAGGCTGACAGCCCCACAACCCCTTCGGCACTGGAGAGTGCCGGCCCCACTCCCTTGCGGCCCAGTCCCAGCCGCCAGGGATTTGGATCAGCGGCCCTGCTCACCTTTGCAAGCGCTGATTAAGAAATAGCCATAAGGCGTGATGCCACTGAAGGCCAGATCGACCACAGGCCGCGTGTGGCCCGAGCAGGTGAGCGGAGTCTGCCTCATCGCCATGGCGGCGGCCAACCGAGCGATCCGGCTGCGGAGCCGAGGGTCGTCTCGTCTTTTCTCTCCTCAGCTGCAGAGGCCCTGGCTCCTCAAGGCCCCCGCCCTGACACCCAAGTGGGCCGGGAAACAGGAAAAGGAGGCCAATCCGGCGGCACCGAGGTCCGGAAAGGGTTAGGGATGGGTCAGGGAGGCTGCGACGGGCGACCGACAGCCGCCGAGGGAAGGAAAGGGAGGGAGGGAGGAAAGCAGGGGAGGCAGGGAACCGGAGAGCCAGCGGCCACGATCCGCACTGTCCACACCGGTACTGGCAGGAAGTGACGAAACCAGTGACGTTGGGCGTCCGCCGGAAGTGACGATCAGCTCCCGCTGGAGGCGGGTTTGCCGTGTAGAAGACGCTTAATGAAGGAGCGAGTACGACAGCAGCGCGCAGGCGCGAGATTCGCACACGTGGGGCACGTGACGCTGGCCCCACGCCGGCAATGTCGGGCGCCAGGAGGCGGTTTAGGCTCTGGAGCAAAGTCCCTGGTACCCAGCTCTGGTCAGCGGGAAACGGCTTTGCTGTGTTTCGGCCCGGGTCGCGAGTTGGGAAAGCTGTTTCTGCTCGGCTCGCACCCTGGACTGGCGGCCCCTGTGGAGTACGCGCCGAGCAAGCCAACCGCTTGGATTATGCTGGATATCAGAATATCTAGACAGAAAAACCAGAGTTGTTCCCGGCGTCTGGCTCAAGGCAGCAAACACGGTCCAGGAAATTTTGTTCAATTTTTGTTAATAGCTACGTAGGCAGCTCTTCTGGGGTTGTCTACAGCAGGGCCCTTAAGAAAAGTAATTTCTCCAGCCGCCCCTTCTGCAATGTAATACTCGTGTATTGCTGGTGTTTTAGACACGAGTGTTATGGAGCTTTAAATAGTTAAATTATTTTTTCTTTTGAGGACTTGGGAGGACTCTAGAGCAGTGGTCCCCAAACTTTTTTGATGAAATAATCAAACTTGAGCCCGCACTCGCAGTATACGGATAATTTGTAAATTACCTACATGTACATTATAATATGTAGACCAAAATAAAAATACTAGAAGAATCTACAAACTAAATATAAATAGAAACTCTGGTACTGTCGTCTTGCAGGCAGCCCTCTTCTGGTGTTGCTGCTCTGTGTAACAATGAGAACTGATTGACAGCTCAGACAAAAGCTTTCGTAAGCAGAAAAGGTCCTATCTCTGGGCAAGTTGTTTCTTTCCTTTGATGTTAGGACGTAAACCGAAAACAGCAGAGGTTTTTGTGGCTTATTCACTACTTTATCCCCAAGGCCGTAATGTCTTGGCACAGACCAATAAATATTTAATCAGCACATTATGTCTGTGAATGTTTCCTTCTCCATCATCTTTTTGTGATAAACATGTATCATCATTCAAGATTCGAGTCTAATGACTTGAATGGGCACTTGAAGTGATTCCCCATTGTATTTCCCTAGCATGTAGTTCATTCATTTACAGTACAGCACTTACTATGCATGTTTTCCATTATCTTTTGTTCTACTCATTTTCTGTGCCAGCCTCACCCTATGGTCCAACACACACACGCAAACACACACTCCATTCACACACTTAAATTATGAGCTGCTGAATGACAATGGTTATGGCTTTGTCATCTTTTTTGTGCATTTGTGTGAGAAAGATTAGTCCTGGGCTAACATCTGATGCCTCAGAAAAAGAGGAAGATTGGCCCTAGGCTAACATCTGTCCCCATCTGCCTCTACTTTCTATGGGAGGCGGCCACAGCATGCCTTGACAAGCAGTGCATTGGTGCACACCTGGGATCTGAACCTGCAAACCCCGGGCTGGGGGAGCACGGCGCCTGCACTTAACTGCTACGCCACCAGGCAGGCCCATGGCTTTGTCATTTTTGTACTGCAGCACCAGAAGAGTGAATGGCATTTAGTGAATGCTCAGCAAATGATTGTTCACTGATTAAATAAATGACTGCATTGCTGATGGAGGTAAATAGGTAAAAGACACAACTCAAGTTAAAGCAACTAGTCAGTAAAATATTAATATATGTGCATTTGTTGCTCATTGTGTGTAGGTGAGTGTATAACTGATAACTACTTTGTCTCTAAAGAATGTATGCTTCCTGCTCATTTGGATGCTGAGTTCTAAGAGTATTAAGTATCATGATCAGTTGTATGGGCTTCAAAGAAAGTTTAATATTAGAAAACAGATTAATGCAATTAATATAATTAACCACATTAAAAGATGAGAAAATATGATTTCAATATGTGTAAAAAGTTTTAGATAGTATTCAACATTCATTTATTCATGATAAAAACTCTTAGATACTAGAATTAGAAGTGACCTCCTTAACCTGATAGAATATCTGAAAGAAACATCACACCTAATGATGAAACACTGAAAGAATACCCATTAAGTCAGGTACAAGATAGGAATGATTACTACCATCACTCCAATACAGCATTGTGCTAGTTGTTTAGATAACTCAAAAAGGCATAAATGTTGCAAAGAAAGTTACAAATCTATGGTTATTTAAAGATTATTTATGGAGATTACATATACAGAAAAAATTAAAGGTCTAATATAAATTACTGGAATTAATAAGAGTTTAGCAAGGTTGCTGGATTTTTTAAAAAGTATAGTGAAAGCAATTGCATTTCTATACACTAGCAACAAACAGAAAATGTAATTTTAAAATGTGCCATATAAAATAGCATCAAGAGATAAAAAATACTTGAGACTAAACCTGACAAGATATGTTTCCCAGCAGGAAAAAGCTGACACACTGAAATGTAGAAATTGAGGGGAATTTAATGAATGGATCATTTACTAAGATGAGGTCAGGATCAAAAGCAAACAACAAGGAATGGTGAATAAACCCAGGGAGAGAATGGGGTACTAACCGTAGATCTGAACAGACAACTGAAAGGGAGCAGTTATCTGAACCTGAATTCACAGAACCATGGCCGCAGGAGAAGTCTACTAGACAAGAGCTGCAAGACTCAGAAGAGGAGCAGAGCTGTGGCCAACCGTCATCAGCCCAGTAGTGGGCAACAAGTGAGAGAATGAATGTCTACTCGGATTTCCTACCCATGCTTCCCATTGACCAAACCTCTTCAGAGGCTGGAAAGCAAGGGAGCCCTTTGATGGAGCCCATGAATGTCAGACTTCTAGTTCATGAACCATAGTGCAGAAGGAAGGAGAGAGAATCTAGTGAAGTAAGTTGAGAATATTCAACATAATTTTCAAGACCTCTGTAGAGAATGATAAATTTTGCTGACAGGTATTGAAGATTACAAAAATAATGGAGAGATGGAAATATTGTGGTTATGGGTTGGAAGATTCGGTATCGGAAAAATGTCAGTGCTCACCTGTTATGGGCTGAATTATGTCCCCCATAATTCATATGTTCAAGTCCTGACCACCAGTATCTCTGAATGTGATTATATTTGGAGATAGGGCTTTTAGAGGCAATGAAGGTTAAATGAGATCATATGGAAGGACCGTAATCCAATATAACAAGTGACTTTATTAGAAGAGGACACAGACAACACAGACCAAGGGATGACCACATGAGGGCACAGTGAGAAAGCAGCCAGCTACAAGCCAAGGAGAGAGGCATCAGAAGAAACCAAACCTGCAATACCTTGATCTTGGACTCCTCGCCTCCAGAACTGTGAGAAAATAAGTTTCTGTTGTTTAAGCTACCCAGTCTGTGGTATTTTGTTATGGGAGCACTAGCAAACTAATACATCCCCAAATTGATATACAGTTTCACTACAATTTCAAACAAAGGCCCCAGTTGCTTAAAATAAAACTGTACATGCTAATGTTAATAGTTATACAGAATACCAAAAATAGCTGACATGCTCCAAAAGAAGAAAAACAAGGGGAGAAGACTTCTCTAAGTAGATATCATGAAAGTGTTGAAGTTATAATAAACGTTGTGGCAACGATAAAAATAGAAAAAAGGAACAAAATAATAGTCCATATATATAGAACTCTAATTCATGACAAAGCTGCACTGTGGATCAGTGGGAAAAGGATAATTTCAATGAGGATCCTGAGGTAGCTTGGAGGTGGATATTTCCCTGGTTGAGTCTCCTGGTGAGGACACAGCTGGCCAACACCTTGACTTCAGCCTTGTAAAATACTGAGTGGAAGTCCCAGTTAAAGCATGCTAGACTCCTGACACACAGAAGCTGGGGGATAACAAATTTGTGATGTTCTAAGCTGTTAACATTTTTATTGAGGTATAATGGACATACAACATTATATTAGTTTCAGGTGTACAACATAATGGGTCAATATTTGTGTATATTGCAAAATGATCACCACAATAAGTCTAGTTAACGTTTGTCATCATTTATAATAACAAATTTTTCTTTCTTGTGATGAGAATTTCTAAGATTTGTTCTTTTAACAACTTTCAAATGTGCAATACAGTATTGTTAACTATAGTCACTATGCTGTACATTACATCCCCATGACTTATTTATTTTATAACTGGAATTTTGTACTTTTTGACCCCCTTCACCCATTTTGCCCACCCTCTAATCCCCCTTTTCTGGCAACCACCAATCTGTTCTCTGTATCTATAAGCTTGGTTTGTTTTTTTATTAGTTTAGATTCCACGTATAAGTGAGATCATACGGTATTTGTCTTTCTCTCCCTGATTTATTTCACTCGGCAAAATGCCCTCAAGGTCCATCCACGTTGTTGCAAATGGCAAGATTTCACTCTTTTTTATGGCTGAATAGTATTTCATTGTGTGTGTGTGTGTGTGTGTGTGGGTACATATATAAATATACACCACATTTTCTTTATCCATTCATCCATGGATGGACACTTAGGTCATTTTCCATATCTTGGCTATTGTAAATAATGCTGCAATGAACATGGGGGTGCAGATATCTCTTTGAAATACTGATTTCATTTCCTTTGGATATATACTCAGAAGCGGGATTTGCTGGATCATATGGTAGTTCTATTTTTAATTTCTAAAGGCGTCTCTATACTGTTTTCCATCATTGCTGTACCAGTTTACATTCCCACCAACAGTAAACAAGGGTTCCCTATCTCCACATCCTCACCAGCATTTGTTATCCCTTGTCTTTTTGGCGATAGCCATTCTAACAGGTGTGAGGTGATACCTCATTGTGGTTTTGATTTGCATTTCCCCGATGATTAGTGATGTTGAGCACCTTTTCATGTACCTGTTGGCCATTGTATGTCTTCTTTAGAAAAATGTCTATTCAGTTCCTCTGCCGATTTTTAAATTGAGTTGTTTGATTTTTTTTGCTATTGAGTTGTATGAGTTCTTTATATATTTTGGACATTAACCCT